GTGCCATCTTCCGGGTGAGCAGCGTCGGAGACGCAACTCATGGGGGGTGCGAACGGACTGCGATGCCTTGTCAGGTTCTAAGGTGTCACTATAAGAGCTGTGAGCAAGACCGTGTAAAGTGCAGAGAAGGGGGCACGCTACGCGTCCCTCGACTCTAGGGGGCATGCTACGCATCCCTCGTCTTTACCTTTCTATGTGACCGCCAACGCAACGTTTGGCTCCAGTCAATGCCCATAGCTAAGTGCTATATGTGTCTTCTATCCTGAGCAATCAGAGCTATCCCGTTGCACAGACGAACCGCCGCCGGCAGTGAGTGCAAAAGGAACGGCCGCCGGTTCTGCCTGCATAGGATCGCACGTGTGGAAGTACGAGAGAGAGACAGGGTCCAGTCTGTGGAGAGTGCTAGCCAGCCACACCTACATTCATTACAGCTCTGGTGGGGAGAGCAGCAACCAAGTTGAGATCAATCCCCCACGCAGCAGCAGGTGTAGGAAAAGACATCGTGACCATGTAGCTTAGAAGTGCCTGGAGGAAGGAGATGTTTGCACCCATAGTGTTGAAGCACAATAGTTGAACACGATGGTTGCTTCACGTTAGGTCAGTTTGTGCGATTTGTGAGTCTGAATATAGTAACCTTGAGGGTTCTAGTCGGACACGAAAGTGCGATGGTCTCTTTAGGTTGCATTTTAATAGCAAGTATTTTAAACTAAGAACCGACACACTTGTTGCTTTAGCTTGCATTGAGTTGTGCTTCGACGAGGCTCCGTTACGACAAGGGTTCCTTCTGCTCATGACGCGCTCTCGCTCGCTTCCGACCCTCGTAATCGTGTGTAACTGTGCCTGGGAATCGGATTCGCCCGGTCCCGAAGGGTGTGCAACGACTCTGAGCATTGCTCTGGGGTCAGTTTATCCTTCCTTTGGCAGGAAGTGACTGCGGGGGGTTCTTAAATTCAGGATCAAGTAGACTTTAGAGTAGAAGATGCGCACAATCACCAGGTTCTTGGACTGTTCAGCTCTTGTGAGCTTCTGACTGCACATCGCCGTCGTTGAGGCTTCAGCAAGACACATGCAACACAAGAGGTACAGTGCCTCCCAGTCCTGAATTTGCACGGTTCGGTGTCCATCAGTTTCCCGAGATGAGATAAGACAAGGCACATCGAGGCACCAAGGAGTCTGCGCTCTCTAGACGCATGGCAGGCCTTCGCCATTTAAGCCCACACCCTTCAGCCAATTGTCTGTAATCTCCTAAGTCCCGAAGTGCCGTGGCAGCTTCATGGGAGCTGGAAAAAGCGGCGGCCTCATTTCGGAGCTTGGCAGGTGAGTCGCGGGCCCTTGCTGAACCGCGGTCTCATCTCAGGCGTGCATGTGTTACTGGGTGGTCAAATGAAAATAAGGTGCCAAACCAGCGGCAAAGTGCTCCCCCACCGTTCGCGGAAGAGTATTTGGCGATCCTTCCAGCAGCAAATTACCGGACGACGTTTCAGTTCTGGCCTTCTCAGCTTCCAGGTATGAAAAACCTGCTGCACCGTCAGCGGGGAGGCGTCCCACGCAAATGAGTGTTGCTTCGGCTCCACAGACCCGCCTGAAGCCGCATGACAGTTGTTCCGAAGTTCAGAAGCTTTCAGTCGTGACACGGGTCGCCACGGCCTGGTGATTTCTGTCGCTGTTGTGCGATGCTTGCCCCATGCGCAAACAGCTTCAGTTCGGATTTTTGGAGTGAAAGTCCGCCGAAATCCCTGCTGTTTTTGCTTAAAGTTTGACTTTGGGTTGAAACCCACCGAACTTCCTGCACCCGCAGGTTGGAACGGAAACTAACCGAAGTTCACTACGCCAAAAGCTTTAAACCACTTTACACCCGTCCGGTCCTGCCCATGCTCTGTTCACCACAGAAACACTCTCACATGCTTTGGCGAGTGAAACTTGGCTTCGCACTTTTCCAAATCCTCATGGCCCCCAGGGGTCCCCAGAAACTGTCACGGATCCGCAGAGACACCAGAGGCGATGACTGGGTTTTCGGGCAAAGTTCTGGGCAGAGAGGCACAGATTCTTTCACTAATAACGGGATCGTCAGGAAGATGACGCCGACTGGCTGACTGGCTGTTTGCAAAAATCGAAGTCGGGAGTCAAGTTCGTTCCTTGCAGCTCTGCGGTAGGACAGCCTGGCAAACGCTGAGCTTGCAACCTAAACCAAAACCTTCTCCCAACCTCTGAGGAAAGCTTTGAGACCCCGCTGAGAAGCCAGAAACCCTGAGATCTCACCTCTCTTTGCAGGGCCTGGGAATCCTCAGGCCAGGCGCCTGGCCGCTGATGTGCGAACTTGCACAGAGTCTCGTGAAGATGTGTGCAATCCATGAGCAGTTTCAATGCGCACATTGCAAAAAATCAAGGAAATTTTGCTGAAGTCAGCAACTTTGAGAGCCCTTTGCGAGGCTCAAAGGACAGCGCAGGACTTCGGGCAACTGCTTCGAAGGAGGAGTCCGCTCCTCAAGTGGCCAGGCACCAGGTCCAACTTCCGCTTTCCGAAGGCGCAGAACAAGTGCCGCAGGCCCCGACCCAGCGGCAGCGCCAGCGGCAGCGCCCCGCGCCATGCGTCGGCGAAGGCATCTGCGTCGAGTTGCTGCAGGGCTGCTTGTGCACATCCCGGCGAAAGACGCTCTGATCATCCACAATGACTGTCACTTGTGCCTTTGTTTTGGCCGTATGCGGGTCTTGGCACTGCATCAGCAGGCAACGCTGAAATGAGCGTGACTGGTGCCACAACACAACTCAATCCAGTCGCAAGCAGCACAGAGTCACACTACTGTTAACAGTGTGTTCGCACTTTTGCCGAAGTTGCAATTTTGCCCAGTCCTTGGGGTTACATTTACAGTTGCCTGGGCGGACAGCTTCACTGACACTTGTCCGGCATGCTCACCGTCCGTGTGGACCCCTGAATCCAGATCTGTCCAGGTGATGAACGTTGCCGAGCTTGCTCCAGGCGATGATGAGGCAGGTACGGTCCTGCGTCGAGAAGCTGATCCGATGCCCCAAGACTAAGACGGATCATGTGAGGTCGAGCGGAGCTTCAAAGAGGAGATGCACTCTGCGAGGCAGGGGTTGAGGGCTTCTGCTGGGCTTTCGGTGACTGAATTTCGCTTTCCCGGCTTCTGCACGTCGAGGACCCGCCCGGCAGTCGTCGAGCCGTCGCCTCGCCTCGCTTTGGGCACACAGCACCCTCGGAGCCCCAGGCCCTTCCTGAGGCCTTTTGACTGCTTATATGATCATGCAGCATGACTACTCAGGAATTCATGCTTGTTCATTCATTCCGGGCTCTAAGACTCTATGCTTTGTTGGGACCCGTCAACAACTGCAATCTGCCGGATGCTGCCAGGTCACCAGCATCAGGACTTAAAGTGGAGTTTTTCGGAGTGTCGAAACTCTGCTGTGATAGCACAAGACATAAGCTTCCTGGGCTGCGCTGGTACATATTCCTCTCGACAGTGCAGGAAGCAGACGAAAGGCTCGAGTCTAAGTTCAGTTGTGCCGATTGTCGATATGGCCTGACCAGATTTCTGCATTCGAGGGGCCGGAAAGCCGCAGTTTGGCGCCACAAAGGCCGGACTGTGTCACGCTTGCATGAGCCAAGCTTCACAGCAGCGCTGCTTCAGTCCCGACGCGTTTGGTTGCCCTTTTTCGCAGGCTGGCGCCAGATGCGCGCGGCTCTCCAGCCAGACATGGTGGTCAGGCAGACTGCAGCGACGGTGCGTGACCGTAGGGCGGGGGAACATTAAAACCTGCTCAGTGAAACGGTCGGGATGGCGCTCCAAAAACTACTCTAAGGGGCAGCGGGCAGCGCTCGCACGACATGTTGCAGATGTTTTGTCCGGCGTGTCAAAGGCGCGTTCCGGTGGCTACGACGGTCACGACCTCGATGTCGACTACAGGCTTAGGACGACGCATCCTGTCTTGACCTGGAATTTGTCTGGCACCGAGGCAGAGCGTCGGATGCCGACAGAGAAGGCTTCGCCGAGATTCGCCGAGCCGATGTCGTGGCTTCGTTGAAGAGTTCTTTCCGCTGCCTTCCGCGCAAGGCAAGTCACCCGTTCAGGGAGCCACACTTCCGGAGCCATGGACCAGGCATCGATGCCAGCTTCAATCAAAGCCGCCATTTGCCAGCAAGCCCTTCACAGCCTGGCCTGAGCACTCTCTGAAGCTCCAGCCACGAACCCTCAACCTTGCTGTGCAGCACAGCTCAGCGCCCAGCATGCCAAGATCGACCCGTCTATGCCTGAAGAAGCCATGCGTAAGCGGAGTACTGCGTGCAAGCCCATGTTCCACTTTGGTCAAAATGTCCTGAAAGAAGAGGGTCTTGGACGGGAACATGCGCCAACTCCACGACTCGCAACGGGAGAACACCCATGGACAGACATCCCTGTCCCTGCAGCAATTTGTTGTTGCGAGTGGGCGTCTTTCGAGTGGAATCCCTCTCTCTTGCGGAGTGATGTGAGACACGCCAAGATTGCAAAAAGCGGGGCCTTTGTGTTGCACAGCTCGGCGGTCAGGCGTCTGGCCAACACGATGATTCTGCACACTGTGCAGAATTCAATGCTGTGGGCTGAGCAGCAAACGCGATCTTTCGCGCGAGGGTTGTCGGTATGTCGAGGTCTTTGCTGCACTGTTGTGATCTATGATTCTTTTTCGAACTGCGTCTGCACTGCTAAGAGCAGCCATAAAGGCGGCCATCAACAGCACTTGCTGCAAAGAACGGCGCTTTGAGTAAAAAGCTTAGGCCCTAGACCTTAAAGAAGAAGCCAAGGTCTGCAGGAACCCTAAACCCTAATACGACTTTTCCCGCGACGGTCCTCGTACCAAGGATCCTTGCAACATACCTCCTGGAGCTTCTCACAAGTGGCTCCTCTTCCGCAAATAGGCGCAGACCCCCAAGAGTAGATCCAAAAAGTAGATCCCATTTTGGGGGGTTCCTATAAAGTACCCTTAGTAGTAGTATAGGGCCCCAATTAGGGGATCTACTTTCTAGATCCTCCCGGGGGTCTGGGTAGGAAGCGCACGCGGGCCTGCTAGGTCTAGGTGCGCCACGTCGGATTGAGGATTCTCACAGCAGGGGGAAAGTTCAGCCAGTCATCTCTTTGAGGGCCTGGAGCTCCTGCCCTTGTGGAATTCCGTGCACCCTGGTACTCCGAGGCTACGGCGCCAGGAGCGCTTTGCACATCGCTTGCTGGGAGGGATCCGTGTCGGCGGTGCAGGCAGGCATTTGTGAATCTGGAAAACTGATCCGTCTGTCAGGCTTTCTGCTAGGCCGCTAGACGTGCTGGGCCTCCAATTGTGGGAAAGCGCGCTGCACTTCACATAGGATGCGCCAAAGAACGTGAGCGAATCGCGCTTTCTGCAGATCCGTTCGTCTGCGGATATGGTGAGGGGGTGTCCAAAGATATCTCTCGCATTTTGGGGCCGCTCGCCTCTGATCTCTCCTGCAATTTTGGCAGATCTCGTTTGGTCGGGAGGAGGACAACACCGGCACACATTGCTCATCATTCCTTTTTACTCTGATCTTTACCTCAGCTCAAGGTCAGAGCTCTTCCGAAAGCTGTTGCGGGTGTCGCAGGTCGTCGCCAACGGCTCAAAGAAAGCCGTTCAAGACTGGTCCAACCCTCAGGCTGAGGATGACTCTGGGTCGCTTGCTCGAGGGATGCTGGGGGTGAGTGGTGCTTTGCTTGCAGTGTGCTTGCGGTTTCAGTCCACGGCGGATCGCAGAAAAAGCTGGAATCTAGCACGAAAATCCGGCCAGACTTCGGGTCCGGTCTGGTGCAGTTTCTGCTTCTTTTCGGAGATCGGAACTGTTGGCGCATGGAATGCGGATGATGGAGAAGTGTATGCCACAGAAAGATGTGAGATGTAGCCCAGCTGATTGTGCTCCGGGGCAGTTCACAAAGCACATGAAAATATATATGCAGTGCTATCTTCGCTCTGAGGCACCAGCGCAAGGGAGATTTGACTCCACTGCACATTGCCGCGATTTGCAGCCATGCGGAGGTGCCCGCTGCTCCACTCCACGATGCCTTGCTGCGATGAAAAGAAATGCATCCAGCAGTCTACCGCCTACATCGTCGATGTTTTGCTCGGTCAGGTTGCTGAGCTTCTGCTGGGCTACGACATCGATCCGGACATCAATACCGTGCGGAGCCTTACTCGCAATGCTTCTATAGCAGGAATTACGCGAACGCGCGTCGTAGGGAAAGTGTCAATTCTCGCAGTTTGCTGATCAGAGGTTTCATTGAGCAACACGCGGCAAAGTGACACGCAACATGTGCGCTCCAGGAAAGGCTCGTCAGGAATCGCGGAACTTCGATGACGACCACAGGCCCAAATCTTCGACTATTTCCAGGACAGCAAGGATGAAAAGATTGCTAGGATGATAGAGGATACGTGCAAGGGCAGCTGCAGTTTCACGATCGCCAGCACGGTAGGCAACACAATCTCTCTCTCTCTCTCTCTCTCTCTCTCTCTCTCTCTCTCTCTCTCTCTCCTTCCCATGGCGCATGATGGCTGTCTTGGTGTTCCTGTGACATCGACGTGTCGTGTCTCGCAGTATTGCCAAGACATCGTGTTGGTCGCAAACCTGCGAAAACTGCTGCATATCAAAGGGTTGCGCGCCGCTTTCCGTTTGCCACCGGATCAATCGACATGTCCGACGTGTACAAGACACTGCCCGGGCTGAGCCCAGGTGCATCAGCTGCGGTCGCTAGTCCCCCAGAAACAGTGGAGTCGTGGCCGGACAGATCAGACCGGTGCGCATGGCTTTCAGGCTTCACATCTCTGCTACCTCCAGCACTGATCTTTGTGAAGTGCTGGTGTCTAGTCGAGCAGACATCACAGCACGCACGGCGGATCAGGACTCCAGAGCACAAGTGGCAGTCTTGGAAGGTTTGCTTGACAGGGTTCATCTGGCAGGATACCCCACTCCACTTTGCAAATTGTTTCCAGCAGCTGGACACCATCGAGCTGCTCTTGAAAGCAGGCGAGGCAATTTGGCTGAAGACGTGGCGACCATACAGCATACGATGGGAAGAAACTGCGCCGCATGCCACAAGACGTAGTGTGGACTATCCAGTCTCCTGAATCCTGAATGTGGGGGGAAGTGAAGTGTATTGAGATGTTAGGAAAGTGCTGTTTTTTGACACTTGACGGACTTGAGTTCAGGCGCAGATGCCTCGGCCGCGAACAACTTCGGCGTGGTTCCGCTGCATGCATCCCGACTGCGCCCAGCAGGGAAAACACAATGCTAAAACCCTTCGGGAAGTAGGCCTGAAGAGAGCTTCTCATGCGCATGCGAGAGAGTGTTGAAGGCAGTCAAGGGCAGGAGCTAAGAACCCACTCAGAACTCGTGCTGCACCCAAACTGCAAGCGGAAAATCGCTTGCCGAACTCGTCAGCAAAGCTGCTTCGTGGCTTGTCTGCCCGGTAGACTTCTGTGAATGAAACAGGTAGCTGTGGCTTATGCCGGCCTTGAGCGGCTGGAGTTGCGAGAGGCCGAAGTGATACACCTGATGTGCCTTCCGTTTGTAGTTGAGGTGCAATGTGCCAGGCTTTGGCAGGTTTCACGGCATCGGCATAGATGATGAATAGAGCGGCTTCAGGCTAGTGCCGTCAGTTCTGGGCTGGGCAGGCGAAGGCGACGCTGCTGCTTTGCGCCTATGGTGCCAAACTGGATGCCAGGCACGGTTGAGCTTGGACAAAATAGCCGCGAAGCTCAGAATTGCACAGCGCAGGCGTTGTTTGTCAGAAAGGATCACCGAAGCATGGACTCCCTCCAACATCGTTTTCAATGCGTCTCACACGCGAGGGACCATCATGGCCACACCCCTGCGGCCGTGGCCCGGATGGCAGGCAGCCCGCGCATGGTTAGGGAAGGGTGTGTGAGAGAAGGTTCCCTTGGCACGGCTCCGAGCGACGAGGCGCTCACAGCTCCTTGATCGACTTCCTCGAGTCCGCAAGTCTGGAGCCCGGAGTCCGGCCGCAGCACTGCGCCGCATCCGACTTAAGCTTCACTTCTGGGGTTTATAGGGGACCTCGGAAGCAGATCTTCGGTGCGTGAGCGGGGGGGGAGGCGGACTTTCGGAGCAGGAGCCGGACGATGGCAGCTGGGTCCCAGTCTTGTCACCGTTCGTTTATTTCCAGTTACAGGAACTCCCTTGTTGCTCTCATCAGCGAATCTGTTTAGCTATCTATTTACGTACAAAGAAATGGTTGTACATATGTGTATAGGCCCCGCCGCTTTCGACTTGACGGAAGTGGCAGACTGCTCAAGCCGGAAACCAGAACTGTGACAGAACTCGTCGACTTTCTTCTTTAATTTGGGGAAGGGTGGAGGGGGAGGGCGGAAGGAGATGCGTCGGAGGAGGGGGGGCCGGGGCGATAGAGCGTGAGGCCTGTGGGCCCGGATCTCACCAATACGACTGTCATCGACTGTCATACTTCATAATTCACATCACGAACCTCGGTGAATTTCAGTTAATGCTTCTGCAGCCCTGATTTATGCCAAAAAGGTGGTAAATGGACTCTTAGGTTATTGATAGATCTTCTGGCAAATTCTGGCACATGTTCCTGAAGCTCTAAAGTTCCAAGACAGGTTCTGTGATGTCTCAGCGAAAATTTTGTTTGATTATGACAGCTTTTCAAAGCACAGAACATCTTTTCAACACAACGCCATCCATTGTGCGGGAGAGTGGAGCGTGTGTCGTCGGTGGAGAGGTAATGCATAACGACCCGTCCAAGCCTGGTTATGGTTCGGGACTTTGCGGATAACGAGTGTCAAGAGGTCGTAGAGACGACGGTCTATTATCCACAACCCTGTTTCAAGCTCCATTAGAACCCTTGCGTATCCTGCAAGTTTCACATTTACACAGATTGCTTTCTCAAGTTTTCCCGTCTTCTCATAAACAAGTTTAGGTTTAGGTCATGAACCACAACCCTGGTTTACCCGTGGGTGCACAATCCGAAAAACAGTTAAGCGATGAGAAGTTAGAGTGCAGGGCCCATGCTTTTGTGCCCTAGCCACTAACCATCAAACGTGCAGATCGTTAAGCCAATGCCGGCTTGCAAGCAGTTCTGCAACCTGGAGCAAACGTGAGTAACCTTTAAAGTTCAACAACTGCAAAAGTTCAATGTTGAGGTTTTCATTTTGAGCTTTTTTAATTGAACATTGATGGTTCATGAGCGTTTTTTCTTAGAGAGCGGACCATGCTCAACCTTCAAACCAAGGAAGAGAGGTTTAGCAGGCCAAAGAATGTGGATGAATGAGATGCAGCTATACAACCAGCAAGTATATGCAAGTTATATGCGCATAATGAAGAAGACATAGCAATATGTGCGTATGTATATATACACGCACATATTCATGTTTGTGTATATATGCCTTTATACCTCTATCCTATATACATAGACATATTCACAGATTACGTTCATGACTCGCCTTACTCTTACCGGCACTTGCAGCAGTAGTAGCCGTAGTAGCCAGAGAAGCAGCAGGACAAGAAGGGGGAGCAAATGCAGTGCCAGTAGTCAAAGTAATAACGGCGTGTAGCTTATTGCTCAGCCCACGCTGGTAAGGTGAGGACCATCAGGCGACTGCACAGGATTTGCTGAATGCTGTGGACGAGGTGCCTCAGTGTGTGGCAAAGGCTCAAGTCCACAAAGTCTTGCGGTTGTTCCAAATGGGCATATGACATACGGTTCTGATTCTTTGCAGTCACTGCCTTCGGTTTGTATTGGTGTGTGGCTGGTCTTGAGTTTATCAAGAGGCCGAGACAGCATTTCAGTGGCAAGATGGGCTTCCCAAGGGGTATCAGACAGTCGCAACAATCAAGCCATACCAAGCCGAAACGATCTTGGTGCGAAATCCAGCTGCAGTTAAGTGAAGGGTTGCGTAGGAAAGGGATTGCGCCTCGACTCCCTGGTCGGGCTCGAGTCAAAGCAAGACGTCGGACGGTTACGATCTTGGTCAGCAACCTTCCAAATGATGGGGCCGACATCCCTGCAGTGACGTGGTGGAGCAAATTGCAAGACCCTCGATTCATCGGCTGTAGATGGATGACTGGATGACTCAGCAACTTGCAGACCCTTGCCGGGTTCCTATGTTGTCCATGGCGACAGTAGGAGCTCTTCACTGCAGAAATGCAAAACCTGCTTGAGAATCCTATGCCGAAAGTGTTGGCAACTTGTCGGAAAGAATCTTGAGTACAACTAACCAGCCAGTCCGAGCCAGGATGCCGAAGACTTCGCTTCCAGCTCCCTAGCGCTGAAGGCTCTCAGCTTTTGGTGAATTTGCCCAAGCCCATTTTTCGCGACTGGATAGGCCATGCAGAGCGAGAAAACCGCAGGCTCTGAGGGTGGGAGCCGACAGCAATTGAGTCACTGTCGCAGCACAGCCAGACCTGATCACGTCCATATGTCGTTTGAAGATGTGCAAAGTTCATGGCACAGAGGTGACAAGTTGTGTTGCTACAGAAGTGATCAAAGCTGGCAGCGTCCGCCGCAGGAAGTGACGGATGGGCGCCGCCATCCCCCAGCGTGGCAAGGGCGAGAGCGAACTCGCTCTGCCCTCAGAACCAGTGACTTTGATCTTGACATGACGGTTTTGACATGGCAAAGAGCAAGAGGGGACCTGGAACAAGCACTCGAGCGTATGCCAGAAGCCGCAGACCGCCAGGTATGCTGGACAAGATATGCAGCTGACGGAGGACGCCAGCTGTGAGCATTGACCTAAAGGCCCGTATCTTTGTCAAGGAATGACTGTGCCACGATGTGTCGATGGCTCAGCCAAAGGAATCAAAATTCCACCGGAAGTTGTTTGCATAAGTGACATGGGGCATATAGATAAGACTTATAGAGAATGCGCCAACATTCTGAAGGCGACGGGTCCCATGCGCAGCAGCCTCCAGCGAGGTACAAAAAACTGGCTCCGGTACATCGAGTAGTGCGTAAGTTTCGCATAAGCTACCTACCACTACTACTACAGCTGCTACGCTACTGCACGCCTCCTCCTGCTTGCTGCTTGGCTCGGCCGCGCACGTCTCAGCAGGAATGAAGTTGAGTTTGCCCTGGCAGGAGAACTCGCGCCTATCACAGGAGACCAAGCGGCTTCAGAAGGAGCTTGATGAGCACCTTCGGCAGCACACAAACCTGATCTTGTAACATTCATCATGGTGTTGGTTGGAATTAACGCCCATTGTGTGCTCAGGGCTCGGGCGAATATTCGGCACCTTCAAGGACGCTTTCGGGATGGGCTCCGTCGCGTTGGGGCAGTCCAGCTCGGCGCGCCATTGCAGGACTGCTCGATCAGAGCAGATCAACCATGGAGCGGCTGAAAAGCGCGAACCCCGGAGAGAACATGAAGCCTGAAGACGCTTCTGCAGCGAGTCGCGATGGAAGCTGTGGGTGACAGTCGTCGTATGCCGTCGTCCAGTCACAGAACGAATCATTGAATCTTCAGATGACTTCGCCCAGGCACACGACTCAGCGTCTCCGAGGCTCCCGGAGCAGAGGCGAAGCAGAGCGAAGCGCTGGGGGCGGAATTTGGCCTTCGCGTCTGCGTTTTTTCGGAGGCATTTCAGGCGGTCCGTGACGACATGGAGAAGGAGAAGCCGTTGAGAAGCTGCATTTTGCTAAGTCAAAGAATCTTCTTGAGCCTTCTTGAAGGAGATGGGCGAGCTCCGGCAGCGGCAAGAGGATCTGGGCTTCGACCTGAGTGCTACCAAATGACTATGAGGGTGTACTTGAGATCTGGGCACGAGCTCGACCAGGAATCCACCGATGTGAGGCTAGTCTTGGCAAGCCGAGAAACCTTCACAGCTGAGGCAGAGATCGGGATAGCTGGCTGCAGGACTGTTGGAACCCTGGAACCGGAATTCGCAAGGAAGGTCGCATCCAGCAGCGCGCAGGAGCGAGAGTCCCTGCTCCGGCAGCTGGAGGAGGCGGCCGAGAAGCAGGAACGAGCCGAGGCCGGCGCCGCTTCGAGAAGCTTCGGAACGAGCCTCAACTTTGCAAGAAGAGGCCACCGTGAAGCGCATCACGGCAGAGCGCAACGAAGCCTTGGAGCGACCTGCAGTCAAGGAGCCGAAGGTGATGTTAAGATCTGTTAAGCAAAAAGCCTTCGAAGAGAAGTCACAGAGCTGTCGCTGCCTTTCTGCGGTGTGCCTGTCGGTCCTGGAAACCAGGACATCTCAAGGCCGTCTTCGGCGGTCACCCGACAGGCCAGATGATCGGTGCAGAGGGAAATCCGAAAGATGACAGTCCCCATACACACTGATTGCCCAGAGCCAGCAATGGCCAGCGCCTGAACTCCCGCCGATTCCTTTCTGGCTTTGCCGAACAGGCTGCAGAACAAGCGGCCACGCAAGACGTTCCGAACTTGGTGGATGGAGCAGTGTTGGCCTGTATGCTGAAAGCCCATGGCCGTGGTCGAAAGCAGTCGTCATGACAACGTTTACCTGACCTTACACGGCTGGCAAAGGCTGCGCTCTTTGCCAAAGAAGAAGCCCTGAGTCAGAAGGCTCGCCGTGCGGGACAAGAACTGAGCGGCTGCCATTGTTGCCTCTTGGGCCAGGATGCAGAGCTGCAAGCGAAAGCGCAAGCCGAGCAAGAGGCCGTGAAAAGCGCAAGGCAAAGCAACTGGGGGCGAATCTTGCAGAGTCGTGCAGAGAGGCCCTGGAGGCCCTGCAAGCCAAAGATGCTGAGCTTGAGCGTTCGGCCCTGAGCTTGTGGCGTTGAGAGCCTAAGCCTCCGCTAGCGGAGCTCCCCTTCAAGGCCTCACCGCTGAATTGCACGCGATGAAGTCTCAAGCGGACCGCTCCGGCAAAGATCTGGAGGCCCTTGCGTTGCCCCCCCGCCGTGCCCAGTGCCATTCTCTTTCTCCTTTCAAAACCTTCAGGAGAGATCCGCCGAGCTCTCCCAAAAAGAGGCAGAGAGTCCTTGCATGTCCTAACATGGCACTGGGCACTCTTGAAGCCACGGCGCCTGCGTCGTCTCCAGGCCGACGTGCTGAGCCGCAAGGCGGAGGTGCAGCGCCTGAACGGCGAGCTCGAGCGCCAGGCGAGAGTCGCGAGTCGGATCTGAGGGAAGGTGGAGGTGCCTCCCAAGCCTTTCGAACACACAGGCGACTGAGAAGGAAGAGCTCTGGACTCTTGGCCGCAGGAAGGCCCAAAGACGCCTTCCAACAGTTTGCGACGTCTTACGCGTGTGCGCCGCGCCGATGACGGAAAGTGGCATTTACCATGCACGACACATGTCGCGTTCTTTCAGCGTTGCTGTTCTCGGCTGCCATACGGTCCAGTTTGTGCACCCTTTCTTGGTGGCGTGCTACTGTCATCTACTGTTTGCGTCGTAGTAAGTCGAGAGCAGCACACTGAGCCGCAAACGCCATGTCTCAAGCTTTTCCCGTTGGCAATTGTCTTGTTTGTGATACGGTTGATCTTGGGGCGGCCAGGTAGTGTTTAGCACACACTTTCCCCGGAGACACGCAGCTTAGGAAGAACCTCACTGAGCTCCGAGCACAGCACAAGGAGCGCTTTCGAATTGCTATGGTCGCGACTTTGTGTGCCTCTTGTGCCGCAGACTAGACATTTGCCACTGGCGCACAGGAGCTCAGGGAGCAGCAGAGCAAGACCAGCCAAGAGCCCCTAACTTGGAGCCTCGTATCATGCGACCTTGCCCTAAACCCTAGGCTTTGTAGGACCTTCGGCTTCCGAATGTGCGACAGGCGCGACAAGATGTGCATGTGCTGAGGCTCGGAGCCGTGCAGACGCAGCTGCAGGAGAGGGAGGTGGAATGGTGGGCTCTTTCGTTTCGATGAAGCTGAGCTGCTTCTGCAGCCCACATGCCTACGATCTGCGCCAGCTCATCATTAGCTTGATCAGGTGGAGTTGGAAGGTCAGTTGAAGGAGAAGGACCAGACCAAGCAAGCTGGAAGAGGATGCTGCACCGGGCGTGGGCCTTCGTCCCATCTGCAGGAGCTGACCATCCAAAAACTGGAGGAAGATGCGACCCAGTTGACTGGCCAGGCTAAGCCCTTTGCAGAGCATGTTGCGGCCACGTCGTGCGATGGCGTCTCTGGAGGTGGCGGAGCTCAGCGGCGTGCGGGAGCGGGCAGAGCAGGCGGAGAAGATGCTCGGCACTCCGGAGCTCTCGCTGCGCAGCCGCTGCCGGGCGGCCGCCACGCAGTGTCCTCTCCAAGGCTTGAGCCTTGGAAGAAGCGGACCGAAGAAGTTCACGAAGCTTTCCAGAAGGAGATGCAGTGCATAGTCTGATGGTCTTAATGTCCCGAGAGCTTTCCAAAGTTCGAGCAGCCTGCAGGAGCAAGCGCTTCGAAAGCGGTACCACAATCAGATGCAGGCAAAGCGGCAAGAAGCATCAAGAGACACGACATGCCTCATGGTCTAAACCTGCAGGACATGAAAGGTGCCATTCGTGTCTTCGCAAGAATACGCTCCTCGGGCAGGGCAGCGGATGGAAGCCGGAGTTTAGATGGGGTTGAGACGTCTCTTCAGAGCCTATGCATGTCCGGTTCACACGCACCACGAGGTCCAAAAGTTTCCCGAGAAGCTGATCAAGAGGCAGGTTGGCGCGCTTTGTAGCTCAACACCAGCTCGAGGTTTGCCCAGAGCTTCTTAAGGTCTCTGCTCTTGCATGCTAGCCTGCGCAGACAACCGAAAACCTGCTGCCTGCAGATCTCCGTCTGGAGACGGGATGCCTTTTCACTGGAATGTGCCGCGAAAGACAAGAAGTCGACTGCGAAGGATGGACCTACGAGTAGCGTTGTCAGTCCTAACTTGTCGAGCACGAATCGCAGTGTCCCCCGACAGTACCATGGTTGTCCACAGATTACGCTGGCAGGACTACAACTTCGACGCTGTCTTTGATGAGCTCATCCGGCTAGATTTCATGTTTAGTTGCTCCTCACAGCTTGGAGTCGGGATCTGGAACCAAAGAGGAAGGTTTTGCTTGAGCGCGAATACGCGCTGCGGCAACTGTAGAGTCGTAGAGGTATCCTGTTGACGAGCTGGGGAGTTCGAAGCCCCCATTGCAGACGGCCAGGCACAACAGTCAAGAGGACGTCTTCGCTGACTGCCGTGGATTGATCGGCTCGGCCGTCGACGGCTTCAATGTTACGGTGCCCTGGCCTCGGCCGGACCCCACCCAGTAGCTGGCGCTGATCCGTTTCTCGCTCGACTCAGGTTCGCCTACGGCCAAACTGGTGCAGGGAAGACTCACACCATGTGCCCCAACCTCTCAAGCCAGCTACCGCTAGCCGCTAGCACCTTCTTGACCTTTGTTGCCATCCTTTGCCCGCAAAAGGTACGGGAACGAGGTCCGCAGCTCGTGCTCAAGATTCAAGTTTAAGTCACACAGCATTCCTCAAAGGCCATGCCCGGCTTGGTTCCACGGGCCGCAGAGGACAGAACACTCGACGTACACTTCATCGGTGACGTTGTCGAAGTGCAGCAGTACAAACTGTAGTCTTTGAGCCCGTCTAGGCTCAGGCATTTGCTTGCGGCATGCGACAGCTAAACTTCCACAGGTGTTTACGTTCAGAAGACCGGCGAGACACCAAAGCTGTGCAACGAGTTTTGTTTGCTGATCGCTGAACCCTGACATCAGGAGCTTTTCACGGTGCTAAGTGCCGTCCTCAGACAAACAGCCACGTGCCATCACGTGCCTGTGCCGTGCATGTGGCTGATAGAGCGGAGACATTGAGCACTCCTCGGGTAGGAGAAATGTAAGCTTTGCTAGATTTTGCAGCCTTTGCACTCAGGGCCTTTTGGGTGCCGGGAGAATTCAGAAGTGTCGAAGTATCCGAAAGCACAACAGGTCCCAGTTTAAAAAGCAGCGCAGAAGCGCGGGATGAGGAAGAGCGCTTGCAATGTTCAGAAACGCCGAAGTACACGTTTGATACAAGCAACGGCGGCCACCTGTATAGGACGGGAGAATAATGAATAATTTGCACACGATTTTGCTCTTCCTTGAGGACGTTATGCCCACGAATGCGAGTCGAAAGTCCTTTGTTCGATGTTTGAGCTGGGACCCGAGCTGCGTGTGCACCAGGATCTCTCTCTCCCAAGCCGCTCCCTCTTGCTCGTGCAGTCGTATTGCGAAGAAGGATGGGCAAAGTTGTGCCTTCCTGCTCCGGGACCGCAGCTGAAGGCTCTACCGTGACGACTTAGTTGACCTCCTCTTCACGAAGGCCAAGGCGCAGCGGATCGCTTCGACCTGCTGAGTGACGCAGGGAGGGCGGGAGTCAGCACCGAAAGCCTTCCGTCCCACTCGCGCTTGGGTTTGAGTTGGGCACTTGGCAAGACAGCCCAGCTATCGAGAACATGAGCTCTTCCCTCTGTGATGTTTCAGAGAGCTGCTAAGCTAGGGGCACTAAAGATATTTGACCTGCTGCCGGACGGGTTTTAGGCTACAGGATTTCTAGCTGTCCCTGTTGCTCCGCATCAGGGCAAAGCCCCTCCGGTCCTGGACATAAAGAAGGATCCGAGGGGGACGGTGAAGGTGCCGCCACGCTCTAAGGCTGCTCTAGCAAGGCCTTGTTCGTTTTTATTTGCGCTCTGCCAGGTGGAGAATGCTGTGGAAATCGAGGCACACGCTGACAAACTTTTTGCAGTCCATGGAACGGAGTATGAATAGGCTGCAAAGCAGCAGGTAACCAATCCCGACGAGCTGCAGAAGACGATCAGCACGGGCATGGACCGGCGGCATGTGGTGTCCCGAGTAGCCTAACCAGAAGTCATGCGATGCAGACAGGGCACGAATTGTAGCAGCAGAGGCTTGGACAGCACTTTAAGCGCAGGTCGCAGCTACGAAGATGAATGCAGACTCTTCCCGGTGCGGATCTCACGAAGGGGAGACAGTACTCTGGCATGTGCAGAGCAGTGAAATACGATGCTTTTGAGGGGTTGCAGCCGACATGCGAAACGGGAGCAGACATACAGGGAGCTGTCTTGCACAAGTCGTGCCCTTCGAGACGAAAAAGAAGCAGACAGCGGCTGTTACAGTTGCAGGGAGGAGTCTCAGAGGTATTCCGAACCAGCACACAAGAAATGGCTCTTTTGCAAGCTCAGAGAAGATTGAAAAGAGTTTACTTGCCTTGCCGGTGGTTTTGTGAGATCGAGGCAATCCGCCTGAGAGTATATTGCAAAGAGCGATTAACAAGTAGGAAGGGAAATTGGCGAATACATCGTAAACGTAGAGGAGTAAGAAGTACAAACAGCAAGTACGCATAAAGTAACTAAACCTAATAGTGCAGCGTGCAGAGCTTTTATTCACGCCTCGGAGAGGCCTGCCTGCATGCTTTATGCAAACGACGCAGTTCAGAGCTTCTTGCATATCTTGCACCTTCGAATTACGTAACTAAGTTTGCATGCAGCACAGAGTATGAAGATTCGTTTACACCTAGGAAAGCCTTCCCTACGTGTTGCATCTTTCCAAGCCTCCCCTGCTTGTCGAACACCCATCTGCCCATTGCACCTCGCCCGAAACCTGGGAAGCAAGATGAATCCCGCTGTCTGTTGAACGACATTGCTCGATGTAGATCTCTGCAAGTCTCACAACCCGACGTTCAGCTCATAAAACCATATGCAGATGTCAGGTCCCATTTGATCTTCATCGTCACAATTGAGTCTGTGAACAAGAAGTCGAAGCAGGAAGGGCCTGCAATGGCAGCACAGCACATGCTTGATGTTTCCGAGCTCTTGTTCTGTCCCTACGTTGCGTCGCACGTCGTTTAGTCGCAGCAAAGGTGCCTGCTCAAACAGAAGCTTTTCAAAGAACATGGCCTTGCTTTTATATTCGGGGCATGTCCCCTGTGCAGGTCTCCACCGGCAAGCTGACCCTTTGCGATCTGGCAGGCCGAATTAGTCTTACCTTCGGACAGGCATCAAATGGAGAACCTTGACTTTGGCCCATGTGACAGAGGCATCTTGCCCGGATCTTGTGAATCGGCTTAAGAGTCCTAGCAGCCTCGCCCCAGCCGATCGCAGTTCCCGTCAACCCAGAGTCAGGGAATTCGAACTTAAGTGCGAGAAGTAAGAGTTTTTGGGTCCTGGGCCAGACAGAACACCGCGAAGCATGTGCCACGGACGTTCATGGACCGAGAATGAAGGTAAACGGTCGGATAATGTCCTAGTCGCACCATCAACATGATGGGGAAAGACTGGAGGTCGTTTCGAATGCGCCTCTTTCAGCACCTTGCAAGACATCAAATCTGCGCGGGTTCTGTCTCAACCGTGGTGGCAAGGCTGAAAATCCAAGGAGCTGAACCGCCAGCAGCCTTTGATTGTCCCTGCGACCATGCATCCGTGAGAACCCTGAGGCTTGTAGTCTCATAGATAGTCTCCGTGACTCCATCTATACTGCACTGTGCAGCTGAGAAGCGCAAGAGCAATACTTACTTAAACTTGCGTTGAATTCGTCTCAGCACAGTCGCCGAATCTCCATCAAAGCCCGAAGTCCCGAAGAATAGTCGGAAGACTGTCCTTTGTCCGTCCTTCCTAGCGCGGCCAGGCTCCGAGCGGCTGAAGAAGAGCGAGGTGACAGGCGAGCAGATGAAGGAGGCCTTGATCTCCAGGGAGAGCCTCAATGGGCTTCTGCATTGCTCGAAAGCACTGGGGATCGGAGAAATCGAAGGCATCTTTCTCCCAGAAATGCCGAGAAGTGCTGGCGGATACTGCTCTCCTGTCGGCTCTCTCGGTTAAACTCACTGGTGCAGGCTCAGTCCATCAACAAGTCGCCCGAGTCCCGGACATCGTGGGCAGTGTTTCATGCTGGCAAACTCCCCCCTTCCTGTTAAAGACAAGAGAACCTTCGGCAGGTTGACGGCACTTGGCGATGTCATCGAGGCAAGTATCAGACTGGATTGCTTGCACAGTAGGCTATAAGTCCATCGTGTGTAAGTCCATGAATGGTGTCCCGAGCGAGGTCGTTCGAACTCGAAGGTTTGAAAGTTTGAAAGTTTGGAGGTTGAAGCTTGAAAGTTTCAAACTTTGAAGGTTTGAAGGTTCGAAAAGTGCAGGAGTTCGAAAGTTTGTGCACCTTGGTGTGCACAAGCTAGCCGGCGTCAAACTTCGAACTTTTCAAACTCGAAACTTTCAAACTTTCGAACTCTCGAACTTTCGAACTTTCGAGCTCGACTGACTGCTTGAAACTCAAACTTCAAACTTTTCCCGCGGGCGAGTTCGATCGGCCTTCGAAGTTTGAGAGTTTGAGACTTTGAAAGTTTGCAAATTCGAAGGTTCGACGGTTTCAAACTTTGAAAGTTCGAACGTTCGAAAGTTTGAAAGCTCGAAAGTTCGAAAGAATGAAAGTTCGAAAGTTCGGAGTTTGAAAGGTTGGCTTCAGATTGGCTTCAGATTTCCTCTTCGGCTTGGGCTGAGGTGACGAGTTTGAAAGTTCGAAGGTTTCAAACTTCGAAAGGTTTCAAGTTCGAAGGTTTGAAAGTTTCAGAGATCGAAAGTTTGAAAGGGATGAACGTTCGCGAGTTTGAGAGTTCGAAAGATTGAAAGTTTGCAAAGTTTGAAGGTTTGAAGTGCGTAGAGATGGAAAGTTTGAAAGTCCGCCGAGTTTCGAGCTTGAAAGTTCGAGAGTTTGACAGATTGAAAGTTCGAGTTTGAAAAGTTTCAGAGTTTGAAGCGCTCGACATGCGGTCACGTATATGGGTGGCGTTCGCAACCCCAATTAAGTATCTGGAACAAACACGCCTTCTCTGTTGGCGATTCCGGTTCACTGCGCCCTCATTTTGCGATTCCGGTCATCATAGCCCCTCACCACATATCTTTATTACGCTCCCATTGGGCGATTCCAGCACACCGTGTAACTTAAACGCACCCCTTGAGTTGGCGATCTTAAGCACACCCCTCATTTAGCTTTTCCGGGTCATCGTATTTGTCGTATTACGCTTACTCATTTGGCGCTTTCGGTTAATTTTACATCTTACACACGCCTTCTCTTTTGGCGATTCTAGTTCACGGTATATCTCAAGCACGCCCAAAGGACGTTTTGGTTCATTTCTTCGCGGCTTAAAAAAAAGGGGAGTTTGCTGTCTAAAAGCGCATCCCCCCCTCCCCCTCCATTTGCAAAGCTTCCGAACCACCCAACATGAATATTATTTTCGCTTTTAACCCCCCTGATGCGTTTTCGTGTGGCTTTCTCCTTTGTGTGTCTTGGAGAAGACTTTTCCCGGCGACTAGTGGTACTAGTCGGGGGGTGGCGAGGGGCTCATGGGTGAAATATGATAGGGGGGCTTTGTAGTGTTGGATCTGGGCGAAGTATGAGAGAGGGGGTTGGGTGAAGTAAGTAGTCTTCCAAATCACTGGGGTTGGGTGAAGTACCTAGTCCTCCAAATCACCTTCCAAATCACTCATGATCATAATGCTCTTTTCTTCGTTTTAACCCCCTGAAGCGTTTTCGTCTGTTTTTTTTTTTTTTTGTTTTTCGTTTGTGTGTGTTGAAGAAAACGCGGCTTAAGAGAGCGGGGAGTTTGCAGTCTAAAAACAGCGGGGGGTTGGGGGGGGGGGGGGGGGTGTGCGGCTTAAACCGGGTTTATTTGGAAGCTGGTGCTTGCACTCTAGATAGGGAAACAGTGACCTAAATCCCTTATATATAAACAAGAGCCAGCTTCCAAATAAACCCGGTTGGGGGTCCCGGGCGGGGACAGGGCCGGGAATTAAATAATTTAAATAATTTAAATCCTGGCCGGGGGGGTTCCCGGGGGCCCCGGGCCCCAGGATTTAAATAATTTAAATAATTTAAATCCTGGGGAAGGGCTCCGGATTTAAATTATTTAAATTATTTAATTCCCGGGGCCCTGGACCCCCGGGGACCCCTCCCCTTCAGGATTTAAATTATTTAAATTATTTAAATTATTTAAATTTTTTAATTCCCGGCCCCATTTAAATAATTTAAATAATTTAAATAATTTAAATCGTGGCCGGGGGGGTTCCAGGGGGCCCCGGGCCCCAGGATTTAAATAAATAGTTTAAATAATTTAAATCCTGGGGAAGGGCTCCGGATTTAAATTATTTAAATCATTTAATTCCCGGGGCCCTAGACCCCAGGGGACCCCTTCCCTTCAGGATTTAAATTAGTTAAATTATTTAAATTATTTAAATTATTTAATTCCCGGCCCCATTTAAATAATTTAATTCCCGGGGCCCTGGACCCCCGGGGACCCCTCCCCTTCAGGATTTAAATTATTTAAATTATTTAAATTGTTTAAATTATTTAAATTATTTAAATTATTCAATTCCCGGCCCCATTTAAATAATTTAAATAATTTAAATAATTTAAATAATTTAAATCCTGGCCGGGGGGGTTCCCGGGAGCCCCGGGCCCCAGGATTTAAATAATTTAAATAATTTAAATCCTGGGGAAGGGCTCCGGATTTAAATTATTTAAATTATTTAATTCCCGGGGCCCTGGACCCCCGGGGACCCCTCCCCTTCAGGATTTAAATTATTTAAATTATTTAAATTATTTAAATTATTAAATTATTTAATTCCCGGCCCCATTTAAATAATTTAAATAATTTAAATAATTTAAATAATTTAAATAATTTAAATCCTGGCCGGGGGGGTTCCCGGGGGCCCCGGGGCCCAGGATTTAAATAATTTAAATAATTTAAATCCTGGGGAAGGGCTCCGGATTTAAATTATTTAAATTATTTAATTCCC